CTGTAAATCTTCACCCAAATCCTAATTTAAAAAAAAAAAGAAATATTGTGCTATGGGAAAAAGACCACAGATTCAAAGACATTCAATAGACACTATTTTATTAAGCCTTAAACAGGACAAAGACAAAACAAACATAATCATCCAGGTGAGGAAAATTGTCATGTGCACACAGTGCAGAGGCCAATGGAATATGCTGTATCATAGTCACGGAGTTCATTATATATGAGGGAAGTCATCCTAACATAATGCTTGGTGGCGGATCAGTGCATCACTGGTGCAGGTGGGACTACAGAATCTGGGAGAGGACTGTGATTGGGATACATACATTAATTGCAAGTTAAAAAGGTTACAGGATTGGTTCTATGGCCTTTGATTCCTTGCCTATATGTTAGTCAGGATATGACTCATGATCATGTAACCCTGAGTCATAGCAACAAGGTGGTTACAAGACAATACCAGGACCCCCGACCTTTTAATTTAAATAACGTCTCTGGTTGGCTACTTTTGGTAAACCAAAAAACTAAACCAAACTCACTGCCATCGAGTCAGTTTGACTCATAGCGACCCCCTTTGGGTTTCCAAAATGGTAAATCTTTATGAAAGTAGATTGCCCAATCTTGTGCGGAGTGGCTGATGGGTTTGAACCGCCAGCCTTCTGGTTAGCAGTCAAATGCCTTAAGCAATGTCCAGGCATAGTGCCTAGTTCTTTGAGCATCTTTCTGCATACTAGTTAATTTTCTTTCAACCACATTCTTCCTGAGGGCAAACTGCCCCTCCCTGGGCTCATCCCAGGGAGCATAGTTCAGGAAGCATTAACATAAAGCAGTAACATAAAGAACTCAAATGGCATCTGAATTTATGTCAAGATTCAAAATGTAGGTAGGGCTCCTGCTGTAGACCACGGCCTTCCTTCCACAAACCGAGTGTTTTAGAATTTAAGCTCTAATGCAGTGTCTACCTTGGTCTTCTCAAAGGTGGTAAAGAATAAGGAGAAAAGTTTGGTTTTAAATTAAATGCCATTCATTATCCTTCCACTCAACTTTGAAAAACAACAGAAAGATATATTTTAGGCATGTGTAACCCTGATGTATTGCTAAAACAATGTTAAGTCTTTTCATTGTGGGGTACTTATACAGATTATGTCAAACTAAATGTTGTTCTCTTGACCTAGGAGCTGAAGTTGCCCACCTACAAAGGCCAGTCCCCTCAGCTCAGTCTCAGACGATACTTTGCTGATTTGATTGCCATTGTGAGCAATCGCTTCACTCTCTGCCCTTCTGCCCGACATCTCGCTGTCTATTTGCTTGACCTGTTTATGGATCGCTATGACATCTCTATCCAGCAGCTGCATTTAGTGGCACTGTCCTGCCTGCTTCTAGCAAGTAAGTATGAATCTGGTCTACAATTGGAAATTTGCATTGTTTATAATGTAGAACTCAGTGAAATATCACCGAACCCATTCATTCCAGTTCACTAGTATCAGAAACTTGTGTTGAAAGCTCTTCTCATCAAAATAATTCTTTTCTTTTTTAGGCTTTTTATTGTGATTTGGGTGAAAAGTTTGCAGAGCAAATTGGTTTTCCATTCAGCAATTCATAGTTTTGTTTTGTTTTGTGACATTGCTAGCAATCCCCACAATTAACAGCACTCTTCCCATTTCTTCCTTGTGTTTGCTGTTTCCATTCATCTTTCTTTCCTGCCCCTTCCTTTCTTCTGAGCTTTATTCCTGGGCAAATGCTACCCTTTTGATCTTGTGTGGTTGATTGTCCTAAGGGGTGCTTACCTCTCTGGTGTCATTGTTCACCTTATAGACCTGTTTGGCTGAAAAGTGAGCCATGGAGGTGAGTTAGGTTCAAGGGTTGAAGGGTAACTAAGGGCCATCTTCTTAGAAGTCCCACTGGTCTCTGTCCAACCATAAGCCTGGTCTTTTTATGATTTTGAGTTTTTTTCCACATTTTTCTCCCACTCTATCCATGACCATGCCATGACTCGAAAACAACTCAATGGCAGTAAGTTTTGGTTTTTTTGGTTTTCTATCCACTACCATCTATTATGATCCCTTTCAGAGCATTTGTCAGACATAGCCAGGCACTATCTAGTTTTTCTGGTCTCTAGGTGGTGGAGGCTGAGGTTTGCATGGTCCGTTAGTGCTTTGGACTAATTGTGTCTTTGATTTTCTTCACTCTTCTTTGCTCTGGTTAAGGGGAGACCAATAGTTACACCTTAGATGGATGCTTGCAAGCTTTTAAGACCTGATTTGCTACTCACCAAAGTAGAATGTAGAGCATTATCTTTGTGGACTATGTCATGCCAGTTGACTTTCATGTCCCCTGAGACTGTAATCCTAAGCCACCAAGCCCAGTGATTCATTCCCTTAAGGTGTTTGATTATGGCTGAGTTTTCATAACTTTGTACCCTGTATGTTTTACTGTATTAATGGGTGTATTTGTAGTACATGTAAATACCTGTGTAGAAATATCTTCTGTCAAACCTATATATATATTCATAAGTGTAGGAGCTCTGGTAGCATAGTGGCTAAAGCACTTGACTGCTAACCAGAAGGCTGGCGGTTCAAACCCACTAGCCACTCCTTGGAAGGAAGGTTGGGCAATCCTACTTCCGTAGTGATACTGCCTCAGAAACCCAAGGAGGGGTCGCTATGAGTCGGGGCCGACTCGATGGCACATAACAACAACAACAAAAGTCCCACTCACCTTCCTACACCTGTTTTGTTTGCGTGTCTATCTCTGTAGGCACTTCTTGATTATTGTTATTACAGTTGTTGCAGGATTGTGTATGCACAATACTATTTGCCTTCATTGCCTTTAACTCCTTTGTGTTCCCCCCAGTGTCTTCCTTTGCCTTGATCATTCCATGCTGACTTCCCCCTTATATATATTGCCTTTTCCTTCACCCAAGTTATATGCCTACCCTCTGCTTAGCAATTTACCCTCCCACCCCTGGTAACCTTCAAAGAATGTTTCTTTCTGATTGTAAACCTTTTCTTAACTTTTGTTAGTAGTGATCTCATACATTTGTCCTTTTGTAATTGACTAATTTCACTAAGTATAACGTCCTCCATAATGTCCAGATTCATCTATGTTATGAGGTGTTTCACAGTTTGTCGTTGTTTTTTAAGATTGCATAGTATTCCATCTCACAGTGATTCTTAACTAGACATTAAAAGTGTCTGGAGTCTTAAAAACGTGTGCACCTGAGCCTTACATCCTGAAGATTCTGACTGCAATGTCTAGGCCCACCCCACATTAACTGAATCAGAATCTCTATATCATAGGACATGGATACTTTTAAGTTTAAAAAAGTTCTAAAGGTGATTCTTACGTATCTTTCCAGTTAAGAACCATTATCTGAAAGCAGTGGTTCTCAACCAGAGGCACTTTGGGGAGATACTTTGTCTGGAGATGTTTTTTGGTTGTCACAACCTAAGGGAATTCTGCTGGTATCTAGTGGGTAGAAGCCAGGGATGTTGCTAGCCATACTATAATGCTCATGACAACCCCACACACACATACACCCTAAAGAAGTATCTGGTGACCCACAATGTCAGTGGAGTTATGGTTGAGAAGCTCTGTCTAAAGTTACCACACTTTTGTATAGTTGGGTACTTTCTAGTGACTACATCATGAGTTGGCATAACGAACTAAAATTTCACATGCAGCTGCTATGCATGCGCAGACCTTTGCATTAGACGTAACTGTGTAGTGGGCAGAAAGGTAGACTCAGGTCACCACACTTGCTACACAATACAGAGTAGATCATTGGACTTTTTGGTGCCTTTTTCTCAATATCTGCATGTAACCCATTTCACTGCTGACTAGTGCCCTCACTAAAGAGAGATGGTGAGAAAAGTAATTGAAGTTGAGTTTTTCTTCTTTTGGTAATGTGAAAAGATTGTATTTGATATTGTAATTGAATCGATTATGTAGTTTTTGTATTATCCATGTCATTACAATAGAAATTTAAGCCCTACTTCAAAGTAGTGTATCAACTACCTTCACCTCTACCCCCCACTTTAGGGTTTGGGATCCACAGTGGCTTCAGTCTAAGGACTACACTCTGCCACTCTACACTCTGCCACCAGTGTTCTTTCTAAAATACTTGTTACATATATTTGTGTTTTGGCTGCTAATAAACCTAAAGCCAAATGCAGGCCTATGTGGTGTCACTTCTGGTACTAATCTCTTTCCAGGTTTTATTTTCCTACCTTTCCTTTGATCTCATGACCTCAGCTACTTATTTTATCCTCTTTGAATGTCTCTTTGTAAGTTCTTTCAAATCTTTTGTGGAATGAGGCTGAATATAAATTAAGACACAGCCCTGCTTCTCTCTGCCTGTGAGTTAAGGTGTAAAGTCCTTACTATACCATGTAGAACCTTTCATCTGGACCTCTCCATTCTCATCTTTCAGCCTTGAATGTCTGTATCTCCCCTTTAATCGCTTATCCTCTCAGATCCAGATGTGTTGCCCACTGCTTTCTCTCCCACCCAAGAAGTCAGAGAGTTAATGCTGGTTCATTTACATTAACCTCTAATTAAGGTTTCATCCTCACAAGTAATCATATAGACAATACCATATGTGTTTCTGGCTGTGAATTCCTTTGTGGCTTAATAGTTCACACAGAATGGGAAAAACCCACTTGACAGATCACATGTAAGTGCCCACAGTGGAATTGTTTCTTGTTATCCTACAGAATGTTAGTTTACTCTTGGATCATTTTGTGGAATTGGAAAACAAAAATTCTGGTAAAGTTATTTTAAAAACTTGGGATGAGAGCATCATTAATGGAGAATAAGCTCTTCCCTGCTGTAGCCATCACTGTCCTTTTGCCACTACCCAGCCACTACCTACTCGAGCCTGTGATTCCTAAAGATAGTAGGAGACTTACCGTGGTGGGCTGGGCAATGAATGATGCATAGTCAGTTCGTAGACTGACTTACAGTTGTGACTGAAGTTTATTTACTAACTAAATGAATAAAGGGTTACTAAATTATTTATTTATAAATTACATGTTACTGTAAGTTCACATTTCAAATTCACTAAGGACTCTAATTGAATAATCTAGTAATAATTCTGGCTACTGTGCAGTGATTGGCATTGGTACCAAATTCTTGTAATTTCCACAATTTGATGGAAGTATACTTTGTGTACCATCTTAGGTTGGTTAGAATGGAATTTTTAATTGTTCTTATTTTTAAATTACATAGTGTAGTCTGTTAGGATTGGTTTACTTTGTTGAAGATTATTTGGTTAAATATATGTAACATGTAGTTATTTCAGTGGTATCTTGGTCTTATATCCAGTAACTAGGCTTTAGGATCTGTATTTGCTGTGGTTTAAATGTGAATTGCTTATCACCTAATTGCTGAAAAAGGCGAATACTTTCTCCCTTATTCTGTTGACACCCTGGACTTTCCTCTCCCCAAGACAGAAGAATTGCTTTTATCATTAATTTTTGCACACTAAGGAAAAAAAAAAACCCAAACTCAGTGCCGTCAACTTGGTCCTGACTCATAGCAACCCCTCCTTGGGTTTCTGAGGCAGTATCTCTGTGGAAGTAGATGGCCCAGTGTTCCTTCCAAGGAGTGGCTGGTGGATTTGAACTGCCAGCCTTCTGGTTAGCAGTCAGATGCCTTAGGCACTATGCTACCAGAGCTCCCTTCGCACACTAGAGAGTGGGAATTGTTGAGATGGGTAGCCCTCAACGTCTTAGTCCTGTTCAGATAGGCAGAGGTCAAAAGCGTTCAAGCTGTCAGCTCTGTGCTAGAGTCAGGAATTGAAGAGGCTGGCCCTTTAGTAGCCAGCAGCAGTCTCTCCTCTTCCCAGATGATAACTACAACAGAAGTGCTTATTGTTGCCGTCAAATTGGCTCTGACTCATGGTGACCTTGTGTGTGAAACGCTGCCCAGACCTGTACCGTCTTCCTGGTCGTTGGCATGTTTGAATCCATTGTTGTGGATCCACCCCATTCCACCCCATTCTCAGTGAAGGTTCCTCTCATTTTCACTGACCTTTTCTAGAATTTGTTTTTTCATGATGATGTGTCCAAAATAAATGAGCCAGAGTTTTGCCATCCTGACTTCTAAGGAGTGTTGTAGTTGTCTTTTTTTCTAAAAGTAATGTGTTCATTCTTTTGGCAGTCTGGGATATATTCAGTGCTCTTACAGTGTTTATATAAACAGACAGGCTGTTTTCAGTATCTGATGTCTGTTTAACTTCGTGGAGTTCATTCAAGTGTTTCTTACATTCATGTACTCTTACCTTACCTTTGGATACCAGTGTCTGCTCTCTACTTGGTTATTATAACGTTTATTCAGATACTGTTTATCTCCTTGTAGAATGATTGAGCTCTGTGTGTCTCCTT